ACCCAAAATTGGAATAATAACAAATACATATTGATAGTATGAATAATGCATGTCACTGCGTAGTATAAAGATAACTAAAGTAATAAGTAAGTATATAATAAGTGATTTATTACGTCGAGTTTGCTTAGATAAGTCCGAAACATTTTCCCTCTTTCTATTTTGTCGTATACGCACAAACATGTTAAAAATATCATCTTCAAGGTGACTTAATGTCCTAATCAAAGTATTAAGAAAAGTGTTATATTTTGGTAAGATAGCGTTTTTTAATTCTAACTTATAATTCAGAAATATTTTACTTCTCTGCTTAATTCTGATAATTCAAAAAATAATGCAAAGCATTTAGATTAAAAGGAAATATTGTTTTAAAATGCATCTTTATATTATCTTTGGATGAAAGTCGTAATTTTTCTTTCGTATTGTATAATGTAAAAGCATTAAATTCATGAGGTTCATCAAATAATTAACACATTATCCTTTTTTATATTTCAGATGTATTATAATTCATGTTGTATAGCAGATGTACATGTACATATATGAGATGCTCAATCTCCCTTAATTTCTTTTACATAATTGGACATAAATTATTTATACATAAAATGCATTATATTGTTTACTTATCGAGTTGGAAATGCAAACTGACTTATATTTATAGATATAAATAAGTCTGTGACGTCGCATTCAATATAAAAATACAGTTGTATGTTTGTTTAAATCAAATTTGTAATATATCGAGACGTTTATAGGAAAACTTGCATTATTTATTTAAATAAATATCGCATAGACAATAGTGATGTCCCGAAACGAATAATATTTCAATTCAATGCAAAATATGCGGCATTAATATTTAATATATTGTAAGAAATCCATTCCCGGCTTTTAAAGATATAAAGATTTACAAAAACTTCTGAACAGTATCTTATACCAGCTGCTATTCAACTTGTGGATGAGATCATATCTCATTCTTCGAGGAAGAAATATTGCCCAGCTTTCTTCTGTTCCAAATCCTATTAACAATAAAATAAAATATGTACGAGAAAATTGATGACATAAAAAAAAGGTAATATCTAAAATAAAGTAACATACTTTCACGGACTGGCTCTTATTAATCCTCGGTCTGAAATTGTTTGGATCTCTTCTGAACGTAATACCCAAAAGTTCTAAAAACCTGTTCATTCCATTTAATAGAGATTGCGGACTATGAGCTGTAGTCGCTAATGATGGAGTACCGGAAAATACAATTACACGGTCAGCCAAGTACGTAGCCATGATAAAGTCATGCTCTACTACGAATCCAGTTTTCTTCGCATGTAAAATAAACCTAAAATAATCGCGTATTTTGATAATTTTTTTTAATAATACAGATTAATACAAATAGCCAGAATTTTCAATTACCGTTTTATTACTTTAGCTGCAACTAAACGTTGCTCAGAGTCCAGATAAGCAGAAGGTTCATCGATTAAATAAACATCGGCAGGCTTTCCAAGACATAAAGCTAAAGCCACTCGTTGTAATTCTCCTCCAGAGAGATTCTGTACTTCTTGATCCATAATATCATCTATTTTTAACGGTTTCATAACGTCCGTTACAAATTGAGGATGAACATAAGCGTCCCTAATTTTTTCATGTAATAATTGCCGTACAATGCCTTGAGATTTGGGACTAATTTTTTGTGGTTTGTAACTAATATGTAACTGGGGAATACTTCCTACAAAGAATAAAATTAAATCATTTAATATCAATAATTAAATCATTTACTTTTTTATTTAATACATAACGAATATATGAAAAATTTCTTGACTGAAGTAAATCTGACTTTACTTACCCGATCCATCATCAGGTGGCAAATTACCAGCCAACATTCTGATGAATGTCGTTTTTCCCGTTCCATTTTCACCAAGTAGCACGAGAATTTCTGAATCTGTAAATTGACCCTTCTCAACATTTAATTTAAAAGAACCCATTGTCTTCGTCATCGCGGGATATTCGTAATGATTCATGCGTTTGACTTCTTCCTCGGTTGCACTTTCGGCTACTTTAAATACAAGAGATTCCTCACGGAATCTCAAATTTTCGGTTGGCACAAAACCATCGAGGAAAATATTTATACCTTCTCTAACAGAGAAAGGCATAGTAACAACACCATACGCTCCCGGAACACCATAAAGGCAACAAATAAAATCAGACAAATAGTCTAAAACTGATAAGTCATGTTCCACTACTATTATGAACCTGATAAATAGGAATGATATTTTAGATTATATGTATATTTTTATTATATTATTTAAATTATTTATACTATTTACTTATCGGGATGAATAAGAGATCGAATCGTCACAGCCGCATTGAGGCGTTGCTTTACATCTAAATATGAAGATGGTTCATCAAACATAAAAATGTCTCCATTTTGAATGCATACCATAGCACATGCAAAACGTTGAAGTTCTCCACCAGAAAGTGCATCAATACCTCTATCACGTATGTGCATTAAATCTAAAAAAAATTCAATAGTTCCATTGTTAAAAGTCGGCTTCCTCGCTTAATTTTTATTATTTTATCGCTGTTCTTAAAATATCTTAAAGATATAAATTATTAACAGTAATTTGAACTGACCCAACATTTTACAAATTTCCATCTGATTTTTACACTCATCCTTTTTATCTAAAAGCTGTTGTACAGTGCCTTTTACAGCTTTAGGAATTTGATCTACGTACTGAGGTTTGATAAGAGCTTTTAAATCATCTTCCAATATTTTGGTAAAATAATTCTGCAATTCACTACCTCTAAAATGGCTTAAAATTTCTGTCCAATCTGGTGGATCCTATATTAATTAAACGAGAAAATTCCATAAACTTTAAAAAAAATGTATATTATGTAAAGAAAATATATTATTATACATACTGAAAATCGTCCTAAATTAGGCTTTTGTTTGCCTGCCAAAATTTTAAGAGCAGTTGATTTCCCAATTCCATTAGTTCCAACCAAACCTAATACTTCTCCAGGTCTTGGAATAGGCAGTCTGTGCAGTTTAAATGAATTTTTTGAATAACGATGTGTCGTTTCTTTCTCTAAATTACTAGGAAGATTAATAATAGATATTGCCTCGAATGGACATTTCTAAAAATACATATATATACATATATTATAATTTTAAAATATTAAATTGCTTATTATTAATTTAATATAATAATATTGTACTCCATTATTCACTAATATTTCTCTATAACATTTTTTATTATACCTTGACACAAATACCACATCCAATACACAGTTCTTCAGATATTGATGCTATCTTACTATTAGGAGTAACTTCTATACAAAGTTTTCCCATTCGTACTACTGGACAAGATCTTTTGCATTCTTGCCTGCACCGTTTTGGTTTACATTTATCAGAATTAACAATAGCTATACGAGTCAACCGATCAGTTTCCTCCATTGACTTTTTTGGTGGCATGATGGTAAAATATTTACCTGCCTGAAAATGTTATTATAGAATTTAAATTTAACAAAGAAATATTTAAAATTTATCATAATTTTAATTTCTATTACTTTCTAAATATTAAATTAGGTGCATAATACAAAATTTTAAATAATATAATCGCTATAATATTACAAATAATTGCAGTTATTAAATAAGAAATATTAAATTGACATAACAAATTGACAATGAAATTACAATTTAAATGTGAATATTCTAACAAGAATGTATCCAAACAATCAAAATATATACACTAGATTGAAAATAATGTAGAACTTTATTAAATATATCATATTTTGAAATAATTGAATTTGTTTAATCAAAATTTTTCTCAACGAGGAATATTATTAAATAATTGAACTACTTAGAAAATATTTCAACATATGTTCTGCTTATATTTCGTCATAAACGAGTAACCACTTTTTCAATTAGGACTGTATGAAATGAAAGAATGTAATGAAAATGAAAGACAATAAATTAATATTAAACATGTTATATTATAATTTTCATATATTTGCATTTAATTAAAATGTTTAAATACATGAAAATACAATGCTCAGTTCTACCACGAGTTTCTAACCTCAGGCAATTAATAATAAAACATGTTAATGTAATGGTACTTTATAAATATACCACATAATTAATAAAAATAATTTTTTTCGTATGTGTTAGGCCATTACTTCATAGTACTTAATATAGGCTTGTACAAACGTATACCTGTCAAAACCAAAAACGTGGAGGAAACTCCTTTACAACCTTTTCGAAGGAGCTTCCGCACTCGTACACCACCACATGCCCTTACTTCGATCATAGAATATAGAAATGACATAGAGTACGTACTCGATAAGAGATGTATCTTCTTAAATAACTTTTAATTCTTATAATAATCGTAACATTCTTCTAACTACAATAAAACATTTATATATTGTTAATCTAGACGAATCACATAATTTTATAAAAATTTGCATAAAGTAGTAAACAATTTATTCTCAGCCTCCCGGCCATAAAAGGAACTTGTTTCATAATTATTTTCTTCATTGACTTGCATTTACTGATGTATAGCATTCACAGTGTTATATATTAGTGAATGTATTCTCGTTTATTCATTTACCTACTTACACATGCATCCACTCATACAAAATTTTTACATACATAATTTAATTTTTAATTTCTAAAAAAAAAGAAGAATGTATAAACTGCGAAACATATAATTGTCATTATTCACAATTTATATTATACTTTGACTTTAAGATTTGTATTAATGTACATAGAAATAGAATCATTTATTATAATAGAAAAAAATAATACACAATATAAATTGAACGAAATTATTATAAATTATTATTTAACTTTCCGGGTGTTTCCAAAGATTGCGATATACGCTAGTGTACGCCACCTAGGTCGGTATGTATATTATATCATTTATATCTTCCATGAAGCATTATAAAGATTTGTTCTGAAGATTTAAGCATAGAATAGTAGGAATTACTTATATCTTCTGATTTTGTAGTGAGTACTATCTCAAAATAATGTCATTTTACTCCTTAGAGACTTTAGTTCCTGACTGTTTCAACAATACATTACTCTGATGTATATGAACAAATATTAGCCTAACCGTATTTGGTTTTAAAGCAGGTGTCATATGACAGTTCTTGATGCGTCTTTTGTTTATACAATTCACTTAATTGATGCAGTGTCAAAGATTAGTGTACTGTAATGTACTATAATATTTACTATTTATTATTACATGTAAGATTTTTGTATTTATACATAACAATTTTTGAGACTTGTATATTATAAAAAATGGCGGTTTCATGTAAACATTTTCTTTTGTAAATTTTTTTACTTCCTGTCTAATATTGGTCACCATTTTTGTTCGTAAATCTTTTTATAAAATAATTACGAATATTTAGTAATTATATCTATGTTTTATAGATTAATTTTCAGTAATGTTTTGATCAGTCTTTGTTAATTAGATTTGTTGAGATCTATTTTTTATGATATATTATATTAATATCTTTCTTAAGATATATTCTAAATTTTCCAATCGTTTACTTTCCAAATGGTTTTAATTTTACTTTTTATCCAAAAACATGTTAAATATATTAATATATTTTTTTATTTATATCATAATATAGCTGTTGCATTAAGTGGAATGGAGCGAAGTATTCATGAAATGTTGAAAGATGCTCCATCTTTAAATGATAGCGATAGTGCAGTTCATAGTGGAACTCCTCCACCTCATGTACCAAATAATTGTAATAATGAAAATCAACCCAGACCAGCTACAATAAACTTAACATTGGGTAGTCCTATATCTCAAATGTGTAAGTGGGATTTGTATTAATGAAGTATAATCTAATAAATCTATTGCAAAGAATTAATTTGAACATTACTCAAATATTTTTGTATATCTAATAGCTGTAACAGTATCTCCAAATACACCTATTCAGAATGGTGATACACAAACAATGCGTACTGCTCAAAGTAAAATTGAAAGCATTAAAAATTGGAGTATTTCTACATATAAGTGTACAAGACAATTAATGTATGAAAAACTTGGGAAAACATCCCGTACAGTAGACTCAGGTAAGTTCTATATAATATAGCTTAATGTTATTTATGTTTTTTATATAACTGTTATATCTTTCCTTTTATAGAACTTGAAACACAAATTGAATTATTAAGAGATACTCAAAGAAAGTACTGCAATGTGTTACGATTATCTAGAGCATTAGCTTCTCATTTTCATCATGTTGTTCAAACGCAACATGCTTTAGGGGAAGCATTTTCTGAGTTAGCACAAAAATCTCCAGAGTTACAAGAAGAGTTTCTATATAATTCAGAAACTCAAAGGAATTTGACCAAAAATGGTGAGACATTATTAGGGGCCTTAAACTTTTTTGTTTCTTCAGTAAATACACTTTGTAATAAAACTATCGAAGACACATTATTTACAGTACGACAATATGAAACAGCAAGGTAATTGTTAATATCACACTGTTTTAACAAGAGAAATAGTTAAATATACTTTGCAAATACTTATAAACAAAAGAGGTTTGTTTACAGAATAGAATACGATGCCTATAGAACAGATCTTGAAGCATTAGCACAAGTAACAAAAAACGATAGCAGCAATGCAGCAAGATTGGAAGCAGCACAGGCAAATTATGAAGAGCATAAGCAAAATTTTGAAAAACTAAGATCAGATGTTTCGATTAAACTTAAATTTTTAGATGAAAATAGAGTATGTTATTAGATTTAATTTTTTATATTATATTCTTTTAAAATGTTACATATTGTGACAATTTTTTTCTTATTACAGATCAAGGTAATGCATAAACAGTTATTATTATTCCATAATGCAGTATCTGCTTATTTTTCTGGAAATCAAACTGCTCTGGAAGCAACACTGAAGCAATTTAACATAAAAGTTAAATCACCAAATTCATCTTTACCATCGTGGCTTGAACAGTAGTTACATTAGAAGAAATGAATTCAAGTTATGGGAAACATGAACAAAAAAATGCATTCGTCCATACGAATTTCTTCTTGAAAGACAAAGGAAATGACAAGGTAGAACAACTTTCAAACACTCTTGAAAACGTACTAAAGGACACTGCTGTCAAATAGTTTGTCAGTTTGAATAGGTTTTTGAAGAAGAATAGATTGTCATCTAAAAACAGACTGAATAATTTCTGAATTATGCTTTAAATATTGGCCAATATTCGTGATACATGTCATATGTATCAGTGAATTTCAATTATATAATTAATAATTATATGCAACAGTTAATAATAATGAATAACTTCTGATGAAAGATTTAATGAAGATTCTTTTTATTCGATAGCAATGCTTACAAAACTTTAAAGGCAATAGATATTTAATTTTTATATCTGACTTAAAGAAGTTCTAATGTAAATACATAAACTATGATGATATATTGAGCTTTGAATTTTACGGTATGTACAAAACAGCATTGATTCTTTATTTATATTAGCATCAATTTAAATTTGATAAACTAAACAAATTGAGAACTATATTATTTTAATATTCCTCATTTCATTTTAAATATAAAGATATTGACCGAATTTTAACTTTGATTCTCTTATAACTATTAGGTCAAGATATATTCCTTATTTACGCACGTTGTTAAATTTAATCTATTTTAAAAGAAAGAGAATTTGAGTACTTCCAACTACACAGGATCAAAAAAGATTATATCATATTTTTAAAATATGCGGTGCTAATTAAAATGAGCGAAAAAAATGCTAATATTACACGGTTTAATTTAATAAGTGCTGTATGTTAGTTTGATACAATCATTTTTGGTCACTAAATGTTCAATATTTCTACACATTTATTATTATATGTAGACTGCGGATTTTTATGCATTTTATAGCAAATTTAAAAGTGCAAAATTGAACAGAATGTATGTGATATGAAAAAGTATATAAAATATCGTATAGTGCTTTCTGTGTACTTGTACCTAAAATAAGGTACTTGTATTGTCTAAAACAATTTTCTGCTAAGACTATACTCTTTTAATCATATACTAAAAAATGTGAATTTGTATAAATATCTGCAGTCTAGTTGTATGTATATATTGGCTTTATTTATAATTTTTTTATATAATAGTCAATTGTTTTGATAAAAATAGGAACAAGTTACATGCTTATGATTAGCCTAATCATATTTTTAAATTAATGGTACTTCCTTTGTGCAATTAATATTTATACAAAGATGCTTGTAACTAAGTTTACTTAATTTTACTTTCTTTTTCAGATTATGTTATATACATTTTTACAAAATAAATAATTTTTATTTTGTTATTAAACATATTATCATAACACAAAAGATAATATGTAATTATAATATCTAACTTTCAGAAAACTTTTGGGTATTTTAATATAGAAAATATAAAGTTTATTTACATTTTTATATATACCACAGTATTGGTTTACTAAAACAAAGAATCAATTTTGATTAATGTGTGAAAAGGAAAATATTTAACTGTTGCAAAACAGATTCAAACTAGTCATATTTTATAAGAGAATATTTAAAAATTAAATGGCTTGTGTAAAATTATAATTTTATATACTTTCATACACATTGACATTATGTATACAAATATTTCTTTTAAAGCAGCACTATTGTGTATACTGAAACGTTATGAATTATTACGCTTCATAAATAGAAAAATTTTTAGTATAGATATAATAAATGTATGTACATTGTCATTATTGTTTGTTGCTTATACTTAAAGTTTACAGTAACATTAATAGTAACTTAAACCATAAAAATGAAGCTAGTTATATTATGATATCATCAATGCGTCTTATCATGTTTTAAACTAACTCTTCCAATGTGATCATAATATAAATTTTCAAATACACATATAATAATGTGTATTAGTGAATTGTACATCAAATAAATGTACAATTCACTTTCCAAATTTTTGCGAATTATCATCATTATATATCTACATTTATGTATAAAGCAAAAATTATGATTCATACTGTAATAATAACATTTTATTTTTTTACATAATGCAAATTGACTTAATATATAATTTCTGAAAATTATTACATCTTTTTATTATGAATCTATAGAAAATACATTCCATTATTTAACAGGTTTTTTAGGAATGTTTAGACCAACAAAAGCAAATACTGTAATTAAATAAAAATAAAATCTTATATTTATTAAGTAGAAATAAGAATGAGAAGTTACACAGAATAACTTGAAATATCCAGTTGAAGCACTTTTTAAGTTATGAAATGTATTGTAGCTACTATATTATGTTCCTAATCATGATGTTATTGTGTGTATATTATGTGTATACAAACTCCAAACAATAAATGAATGCTTATATATCTTGCTTTGTATAGAATTCTTGTTAATTACTAGCACTGTTTCCTATCAAAATATCAAGTTTTATTTAAAAACTAGAAATGTATTATCAAAAAGGTAATTATAGTATTTTGTATATTTATTATTTTCATAGAATATTTTCATAAAATATATAAGTGTTTTACAAGAATTAATTGGTAAATAATTATAAATAACAATAAATATATACAGAAAGAGAAGTAACTTGAAATACAGTTAGGTTTAAAAAGTATATTTAATAGAGGACCTAATTAATTTACAAAATTGACTATTCATTGCTTTCAGAATTCTGCTCTTTTCGTGCTGCATCTAAAGCAGCCTGAGTCTTTTCAAATTCCTCCATGTTTTTACGAGTGATAGCAGATTGCACTTCCATAAATACTTGCATTACTTTATGATTCGCGTGGATATGTTTGCCTGAACAGTTCTCTATGCATTGAATCTATGGCAAATTTAAAAACATAATAAAAAAACGAATTTTATATTTTTTAGTACATAAGTACTTGTAGATTCAATATAATTGTGATGGGATACATGCATTTTATAAATAAAACTAATAATACATTTTAAATTTAATTATAACATACCTCTTCTGTAGATATATCCCTTGACATAAATGTACTCATGCATGTCTTGAAACATGTTTCAGATATTTGATTAAACAAACTATGGAAATCCTTCATCTATAAAAAATATAACATTAATACATAAAAATGTGATTTTATCGGTATTTCTATGTACAATAGATGAAATAGGTTAGGAGTAAATAATCAATTACTAGGCATGGATTATTAATAATTAAGTACATTTCTGATAATCGAAGCATCCATATTTGAATTATTTATTTTAATTCCCAACTTAAATAATAAGTTTACAATGTTACAGTATTCGCCGGTTTTACTTTTATTCAGGTTATGTCACTTAAATGTATTTCGAATTAGTATCGATAACTTCAATATCGATCGTTGATATGTTTTGATCGATTTTGGTAAACAAAAGCTCGAATAAAATAATTTTAATTAAAAATTGTTAATTAATGAAATAACAATATTGCAATAACTTTGCAAAGTCACAATCTTTCATTAGGATTCATTAATGACTAATCTCATCTTGCGTTTATATGTTACGTTATTGAAACATGATTAAATTACTTACATATACGTATGTACATATATACATACAACTATTAAATAATTGTTTTCTTTCTACCTTTAAACACTTATTATAAATATTATATAGTTTAGAAACTGTAATACTTTCAGCGACTTATGATAGCTTAAATTTTTTTCCAAATAAAGACTAAGTCAACGTATATGCAGAATATTTGAAATACTCAAGAACGTAGTACAATTTGAAATTTGTAACATAATATGTGTTGTACATTTCTTTCAATATTATTTATCTGTGACATATTTTATTTTCTCGATTAAAACTTTACACAATATAACATTAAATAATATATACGACGAATGAAACATCAATAGAAATTTATGCGAAATAAAAAACAGCATTATAACAGCAGGCACACTTATGAGAAAATGATGAAACAATGGGAAAATTAAAAAAATAGGTTTTTACAGTTTATATAAGGATACGTTAATCGAAAAAGAAAAAGGAATAATTTGAATACATCCAATATTGAGAAAAAGCGCGCGTTTATCGGCGCGATTCGGGGGCGCTCGGGTTTAACCGGATCGAAACGTCTGTGATTGGTCGCGGGTCCCGAGTCAGCGAAACGTGAATCAGTCGGCGTTGACGGAGCAAGGAGTACCGAGTTCGATTTGAAAGCAGTGTAGAAACGGAAAGTTTGTCAGTGCGTGTCGCCGGTGAATGAAGCGGGCTAATTGTTACGTGCGATGGCCGCGTGCTATAGCGAGCAGGCATCATCCAGCTCGGGAAACGTAACGAAAAAGTCACCTGCGGCCGCCGCGAAACCAGTCTGTTGGCAACATAGACTGTTCGGTAAACAACTGTCGCGGTGCAGTCAGGTTAATCAACAAGACACAAAACCGTGCGATGCAAGTGGTATGCTTGTCGATGAAGACGGCCAGCCGACTTGTGAAGTGATCGGTGTGTATTTTAGTTTCATTAATCCCGGTGCTACGTGCGATGACTTTACGCGTCAGCTGCTCGACCTGTACACCAATGTCAACTCGTTATCCCCGTCACACACGGAAAACGATCGGGACACAGAGAATTCCACCAGAGGTAGAGAAAGGAGGAAAAAGTTCGAGGTCGTGCACGTGGTTCTTTGGAGTAACGTAGCCGATGTCCTCGACTTTGAAGAAAGTTTCCGTGCACACGTTGCAGAGTTACCCTGGTTGGCTGTACCGAACTTGGACTACGAAAGAAAGGTAACACGCATCTCTGTAATTCTTTCATATTTCGATTTCCACTCCTCCTATACTTTATTCGATTTTTATATATCTTTATTGGGATATCGCTAAACAAATTATGGATAGTAATACTTCTGGCATTCGACAGTACTAAAATAAGGCGTCGTAAACACGTTAATGTCATGTATATCTATTTTTACTATTAAGTTCTACGAAATTAACAATCATATTTTCTTTCTCGAAAATTTTCAGAAACACTAAAACATTTTCATACTATGTTTATTTCGTAGCTTCTTTGTATCTTTCGTTCGATATATTTTCTTGTTTTCAATTTTATTCACCTCCATCGAGATTATAACGGGCGAAAGAACATTCCTAAATAATTGCACTCGAATTACTCCATCTCTCTCTCTTTTTTTCTGCTTGAAGCCGATATCACCAAATCTTTATCACTGAGATCGCGCAGCCACGCTATTTCAATTAAATTCAATCAAATAATTAGATTGGCTTTTTAAGCCGAATAATGGTTGCGTTTGCCGGAACGGCCATTCAGATAACTACTAACTCCTTGAAAATGAAAAAGCGCGTTTCTATTAATTCGAAACACCGTACGAGATAATAATTTTAATGGTTTTCCCATATTTCCCAACGGTGGCAGCTTTTCTTCACGACTTTTTCACCGGCTATGCGAATTTTACGGTCAGACGGGCTGTGATCAATTGAGGCGAGCGTATCATTTGAAATTTGTATACATATGTCTGTCATAAAGTTACACATGTATACATAGAGAAGGCACACATGCTGTTATGCAGAAGGACTGTGCGCGCAGCGCCTTTTTTATTTCCAACGGGTGTTTTAACCCCTCGCCAGACGTGCTATTTAGGGTCCGATTTTATTTGCACCGACACACGAGGCAGAGTCGACTTTCTCTAACTAAAAATCGTTCGTAATATTTCCACAAAACATCTGCTTCTCTACGAACTAACTACTAACGTGCTTTTTCAGTCACGATCAAATATGATTTCTTTTTTCTTTTTTAATCAACATTTGCACGACTTCTTTCTAGTAAAGCGTGTTTTAATCTATTCTTTTTCTTTTTATAGTACAGGTTTATAGACAAATGATATATTATACGAAGATTTAGTCCAAGTCAAAAAGAATCTAACGAATTAGAAAATAATTTCAGAAATCCAAGTAAAAGAAATGCCGATTAAGGTAACAATTTCACCCTGCAGATGGTGCTGGAAGAAATTGTAAATCTAATAATTTTACCAAGGGGTTACGAAAATCTGTGAAAAAATTCCTAACACCGTTTTAATTGGAAACAAGCAAATGAATGAATTGAAATTGAGACGAGAATTTTGTTCGTGGCGATTAAAAGCAGACGGTAGGACGGCATCGTACATTGATCTTTTCATCACCCACGCACCTCGATGACGCACATATCTCTTGTCTCGAAAGTTTGAGTGACTCTGCGTTACGTTGCAACACTTCGCACACGCATAGTGGATATTCGGTTTCCCCTATACTTTTTATGCAAGTTAACGAGGTTCTACTATCGCATCGGGGTAACGAATTAAAAAGAAATGACACGAGAGAAAAGAGAAATGAAAAAGGAAAGTAACGGTTTCCTATATGACGGTTTGAAACAGCGGTTTACGTTGGATAGTTTGCATTTGTGTAACGGAGATGCTTTAAAATTGCTATGTAAGGCGGCTGCTGTTAGTACTTATTGGATGCATACGCATTAGCAGCATGTGAATGTAAGGAACGATCGGAGGTTGTTATTCTCTGTCTTTTTTTCACGATCATTAGTCAAGCCACTCGAATTGTTAGTGTTTGTGATATATATATATATATACACATATAGAGTAATAGACAAAGAAAAAAATATATATGTATGTATGTATGTATGTATGTATGTATGTATGTATATACATATATACTTGACAGTCTGATTCGCGAGTAAATGTAACGATAAGAGTCCTGCGCAATTAGCGTCAAGTAGCCTCGTGATTCTTCCTTGCTCGTTATTCCGCCTATCTACCTGATCCACGTTGGGAATCACCCCCTTGAAATCGTAGGTTCTTTGTATACAGTTCCATTCATTTAACAATGAGAAGAGCAACTTTGGGTTGTGGAAGGTTGCAAGAAAGAAACGACGATCAAATTTTCCCTCTTTCACCATCTTTCTCTTTCTCGTTCAACATTTTTTTCAGTTTTTCGCATTGAAAGCAAACAAAGAAGCCAGAAACAATTGCGAAGTAAATTCTTAATTCCATTATTGTCTATTGAAAACAAAATTATTAAAAAGGAAATGTTTCGCGAGATCATAACGTAAATTTGTCAATAAGAACAAAAAACGAAGCAAGTAATTGGCAGAGATTACGGTTAATAACGCGAGTTATCGTTGCGTTACCATGCATCGTTAATGAAGTCCGTATTGATCTCCGGTGGCAGCCGGGGCTATCTTTTTACGTCGCTCCTTGAGAAGGGAGCAAGGGGACTGTGTCCAGTTTGTTCGACAAAATTGAACGGTTAGTGGTATCAAGGAAGCAACTGAGTGTCCGGCTGCTTGAACAGCTAGGTAATAGAGGTGCGCTGCTCATCGTTTGTACGGCGTAAACCGTTTCATAAAGGTATACGGCGGGTGGCTTTGCCTTAGACGCAGAAGCACCTGAGAAAGAGTCAAGGCAGCCTTTGCATTCGGGGTGGCCGACCCATATCTTCCGCAAATAGCTTTCTCATTCGGCCGGCAAGATCAAGAAAGCGACGGAAGGTAGCAAACCGAAAAGAGAGGAAAGATGTTTACGTTTGAGCGTACATAGAAAGAAAAGAGAGAGAGAGAGAGAATGTGCGCGCGAATCGGTGGCGATGCAGGTCTCCTCCGCTCCCCGAAAACGACTGAAACAGCAAGAAAAAAATAAAGGAAGGAGAGAGACGTTGGAATCTAGATAGACTTTGAGGCAGTTCGTACACAGAGTGGCCCGTACGCGGCACTATGTAATCCTTCCTCCACCTTTTTCCACCCCCTTTCCATCCACCCACACCCATTTCTCCTCCTCCTCCTCCCTCTTCTGCTCCTGTCTGCTTTTTACCTGGCATATCGTGTAGATTACACACGACCTACTCGGCAGTGGTCAAAGAAAAAGTGTAGTACATACGAATCGTCCGAATAAATGTATTCCAGTGCCTATGACTCAAAAACTCGCGTGAAATCCTGCAAATGCTTTGACGCCGCGCGTATCATACCCATAAAAGTGGTAGAAAGTTGGGCGAATTAAAAAAATTAAATGTTTCGCGTCATTTCCCTACCGATGCTCTCCCAATGTCTCTTAGCCATTTAATTCGTCTTTTTAGATTATACACTATCTTAATTCCTACGTTCTTATTCTTATTTTAATTTAAGCGACGCTGAATTTTGTTTCTTCTCTTTCTACCCTCCTTTTAGTTAAATATTTCTACTACGCTATTCCGTCAAGGATCTTTCTTTCGAAGATATTTCGATGGGAACGTAAACGTTTCAAACGTGTTCCCATTGTCGTTCGTAACCCTTAAAATTTACAAAATCGATCCTTAATAAGATGCGAACAGTTCTTCCATGTTCCGTAACATTTTCAAGCCATACACAAACGTGTAGTCTGCGTGTAATTGAAAGCATGGTAGTCTTAAGACGTTGCTGGGGTTGACCAATGGAAACACAGTGGTCTCGTCAGTCTCGGTCGGACGAGAGACGTCGGGAGGCCGATATCTGTATATACCAGGGGTGCGCAACTCCAAATTATATTCACCCCTACGTCAAATCGATTAACAACG